TAACTGGAATCTTCCCTTAACTGGCAGCGTTGTTGCGGTAGTGGTCCGCTCCGCAAAGATCTAGATGTTACCCTACAGCGTGCCACTATGTATTTATCTCACTCACGGCTTTGCGTGTCCAAGTGTATGAAATTAGCCCTAAAGATCGCTAAGGCTTGCCACTACGGAGAACCTTCTTGTCATAGGGTACAGTCGAAAAAATCTCCGCTGACGTTCTCTGCCATAACTCACCTTGACACAACCTTGATATTGTGGTTGATTTGACAAGTTGCCATCACTAATGATAACAAAGTTTCCAAAATCAAATCTCTCAGAAAAGTTGGTCTGTTTCGATTAGATGACCACTTTTCACATTTTTCGAGAAGGACAAAATTTCACCTATTTCAATTTACCCTTTGATGAAATCATACTGTATTATCACAAAATGAAAATGTAACTACCCGCCACGGTCTACTCAAGAAAGAAAAACCAGGAAGCATTTTCAGATCTAGAAAAAAAACAAAAAAAAATGAAATGGTGCCCCGGTAGCGTAACTGGTAGCGCACTTGCCCGGAAAGCGAGAGGTGCGGGTTCTAGTCCCGTCTGGGGCGAAAGTTTTGTTCACAACCCAGCATTCTTGTGGAACAAAAAAGAGGAATGTGTGGCCATAACCCGTGACCTCGCGCCATTTCTCGGCCTCTGTAAATTTTGACCTACAGTGAGGTCGTGGAGGTGGAGGTAGTAAGTGCTCAGTGTACTCAAATTCAAGTTCTAGTGGTGGTCTCTCTCGCTCCTTGGCGACAGACATCAAGGTAAGCTGGTAACACTCTTCGCATTGACCGATACCGACTGAGGGTTTTCTAGTCTATTGGAGTTGTCTTCAGGATTGTTAGAAGCTTCGAGGGGTCGATCTCAATGTTCTCGACTTTTTCAGGCTCTGAAGAAGGCGAAGAAAGCCGAAACGTCAGCCTTGTTAGGCGCTACAATCTTGGAGAGGCTCAGTAAACCTAATACACGAAATAGCACACGATAGCTGACCTGAAAACTTGTCACTTTAATAGATTTTTTGGGAAAAGACATTCCCGTTTGTGGGAACTGATGGGAATTTAGTGCCGCCCATGGTACCCGACAGGAGGCCCGTCGCGCGGCAAGAAGGCAGAGTCAGCGGACGAGTCGCAGCGCGTGCTGTGCGATGTAGGACGTACAATGGACATTCTATTTAACTTGACGCGAAACTACAGTACGCGCTGCGACTCGTCCGCTGAGCCTGCCTTCTGGCGCGCGACGGGCCTCCTGTCGGGTATCCTGCCACCTATTGCACCCCACATGGAAATCATGCAGGAAAAATGTGTTATCAAAAATCAGCAAAAAGTATCAAGCTTTACATGGGTTATGGCATAAAAGATATGTGATGATTTCTCTTGACTGCATATTTCAGCTTTCATCGCCTAAATCGTAGGCGATGAAAAACCCCTATCGGGGAAAGGGGTTTGAGAAGCTACGAGCAAATAGATTTTGAATAAACTATTGGTTTAATTCAGTGAACAAAAACACTAAAATATTAAAAATATAAATATCAAAAACGAGTAAAAAGTTTGCAGGGCTTTTCTTGCACGAAGGCCTCAGACAAAAATTCCACACTGGAAAATAAAAATAGTTAGATTGCAGTTCCGTTTCGTCCATGCCCTTAGACGGAAACAGATCATACATAAGTTTATTACCAGTGACTCGCCACTGCTACATTGACGACAAAATTTGCCTTATCTTGTTATGTATTTTTCTCTATCATAGTTTATCATGTAATCAACTAGATTACACGAACAAAATTAAATTGTATTCGAAACAGAAAGTGCAATCGAAAACTCACTTAGTGTCCTCTAACGAATGTTGTACGTGCAAGATGCGTGGGTGAGCTAATGAGGACAGCTGGCCGACCTCGTATCTGCAACAGAAACGACGAAATACCCCATTCGGTATGACGTAGTACTAGGCGAATAACCAACTTGATAAGGTCGACGAGTGCGAACTTATTCATTCGTCCTATCCTTGGTGGTGCTTTCACATTGTTCTTACGTTCGAACACCATCACAGAAGCTTCCTGAATTTCGATTGAGATGAAATAAATGAATTCAATGTCATAGAGCTATGATTTTATAATATTGGAAGGTTCACGGATTTTAAACAAACAAGGAACATTAGAAAAAATGGTGTGCCTTGTTCGTTAGGCCGATGTCAGACTTTGCGAATCGCGCGATTCGCTAGCGTCTGCGGTCGCGTCGCGGCCAGTGAATCACTCAATTGGCTGGTACCGCAACGCGACCGCGGACGCTAGCGAATCGCGCGATTCGCAAAGTCTGACATCGGCCTTGAAATTCGTTATACTATCGGTGCGAATGGTGCAGCGGCAGTTATCAAAAAAATAATACGTCAATTTTTAGCATTTAGATTGTTGTTTGGCGAAAATGTGGTTTATAAAATAGAAAAGAGCAATGAAGTAAGCTAATTACTAGTAATAGTTATTAAAACGATCCCAAAAATCAATAAGTTGGAGTTAGATGAAACTTCCTCGATTCAAATGCTTCTAAATATTTCTGCACTAGGCTAAAATCCTATAATGACTAGCCCGCTTATGTTGGCAAGAAAGAATAGGACGGATATCGCATGTTTCTGGCAATGTATTTTTTCCAAGTGTTCACTATTTCCTTCAGAATTCGTCCTCTCTTCTTCTCCCTAGCCGCTTTTCCAGGGTATGCTGTCTTTCTCAACCGTCGTCACGTTGTCCCATCCAAGATATCTCCTCCTGTGGCTCGTCTTCAAGAGATTCTTTTCTGTGAACGTTATCGTGCTCTTGCCTGACCGCGAGCTGTAGCACCGCACACCACTGTTATTTATGGGATTTTAAGGTATTTATTTGCCGAATATGGGGTAATAACAGATATCATTTGTACGGTGGCGCAGCCAAGTCTTTACGAGCCCTATCAAACCGATTATTGATTGGTACCAGAAATCAGTACTTTGGCCCGATACGCACTCCAATACGATTTCCGATGGAAGTGGGACACATGGCGCATTCCGAAATTGACCAGCCCCGAGCTCCGGGAGACGTTCAGTTCTCCTCCTGGGGTCAGGTCACCAGTGTTGCGCGATCATTGAAGCCTAAGGTTAAGCTTGGGTTTAGGTTTAGGCTTAGGCTTATGCTTACACATTGGCTTATGCTTAAGCCTATGATTGGGCCTAGGCTTAGTCCTAAGCTTGAATCGAGCAAATGACTGGTGTCTCAATTTTGGTCATCTGACCCAAAAGAAGAATTGCAAGCCACCCCAAATTCCCAGACCAGTGCTGAACGGTAGCTGAGAATATATTAGACCTCAACCAAGGCTTTCGCATAGGGCCCAAAAATGGAAAAATCCCACACAAAAATACTACTTGCAACTTTTGCTCTATGAGCATTGAACAGAACTTTATGCTTACATCGCGTTCGACAACATCACTCAAGCTCAGCTCGCTCCGCGGACGTCAATTCCAGCAAATCCCGTATCCGGACAACAGTTTCGAAATGGCTTTCCAAGTTCCGTGGCCAAAACATTGAGTTGAACTACCCTCGTAATCAACTCGACCCACGAATGCAATTCTGAGCAGCGGGTTTCAGAACGTGTTCTGATACGTTGACCCCTACTTGCGCTGGCTTGCCACTATCTTGTCGTTCTCCCCGGTTACCCTTACCCGGGCAAAAATTGTCTGGAAATTCTGGCGACCAAATTGTTCCTAGGAGAACGTTAATATGTTCAGACTGCCCTTGAATCGTG